GTATTCACTTAAGCTGATCGATTCCCAAAGATCTTAGAGGTTTTCTTAGCCTGTATAGTACCAGCAGTCAGAGTGGCTTTGAGCAGGGTAGGACTTCAACCATTTCTTAGTTTTTTCTATGACCTGATGTTCCTGGGAGTGAAATCCTAACCCTAGCAGGACCTAAAGTAAGGAGATGCACTTTATGGAAACAGAGACAAAAAGCCACTAAAAGAGTTTCTTTGCAATCACTGGCTAAGAAGTCAAATATTTCACAGCAGCCCCAGGGAAAACGAATTTCCATGAAGAGTCTCCAGAGAGGAAATGCAAAGAGAGATTCCAATAAGACAACTTGCCATACTACTCAGCTTGTAACTTTTGTTTAGTACGCCTGAAGCTCCACCCCAAGCATCATGGCCCAATAAATCCTTGGGGCAGGGAGAGAAGTGGGGGCAAAGAATTATGAGCCCCTCTTTGGGTTTGGAATGGGCCATGAACATTCACAGCTAGGTAGAAGACTAGCAAAGGCACTGGCCAGGATAAAGAAGTAAAATTTATTAAGTATAACTTTCTACATGGTCTGAGCATAAACTGAACTTAAGACAACTCCATGGCCAAAATTTTTTTCTGCCTGTGGGGTCCTGCCTTTGCTATTCCAAGTGTTTCTGTCAGTCCCAATTCCTGAGATGATTCTCGCGTATAATTCTTTACTTCTTCTCTTTCTCCTTTACTCTCTCCCTCCCTTCCTCTTTCTTCCTACCCTCCTGCTTACCCACTTCTCCTTCCCTTCATTTCTTTCTACCAATGCAGTGAGTGCACTTATTCACCTTCCCTGCTTGGGGTACAAGTAAAATGTGGTATCTTAAGATGTCTTTAGGTTTTTAGCAGGGAGGAAGGCATAGAAATAATTTCTGATAGACTTTTTAAGAAATCAAGTGTTAGGAATACCATCACCAAGATGGAGACAGAGGTTCCTGTCTTTTGTTCCCCCTCACAAGAAGAAAACTAGCAACCATTGATGGATAAGACCACTGAGAGAAACTTAGAATGCAACAGTGATGCTGAAGCACCCCCCCCCCACCCCCTACTATGGAGACCAAAAAAGACCACTTTAGAAGGGTAAGAGGAACAGCTAATGCTGATCAGATTGTCCCTCCTCCAGGCTGGTACAGTCCTATGCCAAGAAGTCTTGCCAGACCCTGCAGTTCCTCCAGGGGGAAAAGAGAGCAGCACCCCATGTTGTGGGTCACTTCTTAGCAGTCCTCATTCCAATTTTGCCCCCACAGGAATTTCAAGGGAAACTGTAGAACTTGACCGCTGGGAATCGGGTTGTGATAGAGAAGAGGGAGGGGCTTGCAACAACCGGCAGTCAGAGCTTGGAAAACTGAGTTCCTAGCTGCAGTGCCCAAGAAGTAATCCCAACCAGTGGCTTTGTTTATCTGCAAAGCCATGACCAGCGAACTTGGTGGGATGCCTGATTCAGATCCTCAAAACACACAGGATGGCTGAATGCATAAAAAACAAAATCTAATTATATGCTGCCTAGAAGACACACCTAGACTGAGTGAAGAGATGGAAAAAGATATTTCAATTAAATGGTAACAAAACAAAACAAAATCCAAAAGGTAGCTATACTTTCCAGACAAAACAGGTATTAAACTACAATGGTAAAAGGAGGCAAAGAGGTCAGTATCTAATGGATTATATAAAGGGGTTAATCCATCTAGAAAATATAACAATTGTAAATATTTGCACCTAGCATCAGAACACCTAAACATACAAACTAAAGGCAATGGAGCTAATAAGAGAAATGAATGGCAATACACTACTAGTTGGGGACTTCAATACCCACTCTCGATAGTGGATAGATATCCAAACAGAAAATCAGTAAGAAAATGGCAGATTTAAATAATACTATAGACCGAATGGACAGAATGGATCTATGGAGAACATCTATCTGACAATACCAGAATACACATTCTTCTCAAATGCACATGGGACATTTTCTAGGATAGACCATATGTTAAACTACACAATAAATCTTAGCAAATTCAGAAAGATTGAAATCATACCAAGTATCTTCTTTGTCCATAATGGTATGAAACTAGACATCCATAAAGAAGAGAAACTGGAAAATTCATGAATGTACAGAGATTAAATAACACTCTTCTTAACAACATGGATCAAAGAAGAAATTAAAAATATCTTGGGACAAATGAAAGTGGAAACAACATACTGAAACTTATGGGATGCAGCAAAGCAGTTCTAAGAGGAAGATTCATAGCAGTAGATGCCTACATTAATAAACAAGAAATATCTCAACTAACCCAATTCTACACCCTAAAAAACTAGAAACAGAAGAAACTGAGCCCAAAGCAGAGGAAGGAAATAATAAAGATTAGAGCAGAAATAAATAAGAACAGTAAACAATTCAAAAGATTATCTTTTCATAAAACCAACTCTTAGTTTTGTTAAAGTTGACAAACTTTTAGCAAAACTGACCAAGGGGAAAAGAAAGGACCTAAACTAACAAAGTTATAAATGAAAAGGGAGACATTACAACTGAATCCACAGAAATGCAAAGATCGTAAGAGGCAACTAAGAAAAATTACATGCCAACAAACTGGAATACCTTGAATAAATGAAAAAATTCCTAGAAACATGCAACCTACCAAGAATGAATCAGGAAGAAATAGAAAATACGAACAGACGAGGGGCACTTGAGTGGTTCAGTAAAACATCTGACTTCTACTCAGGTCATGATCTTGGGGTTCATGAGTTCAATCCCTGAGTCAGGCTCTCTGCTGTCAGTGTGGTGCCTGCCTTGGATCCTATGTCCCCCTCTCTCTCTGTCCTTCCCCCACGTGCACTCTGTGTCTCTCTCAAAATGAAGAAAAAGAAGTCTGAACAGAACAATTTCTAGTAATGTAATTAAATCAGTAATCAAAAATCTCCCACCTAAGAAAAGCTCCAGGCCAGACAGCTTCAATGGTATATTTTATCAAACATTTCACCAAGAATTAATGCCAATCATTCGCAAATCTTCCCAAAAACATCAAGGAAGATGGAAGACTTCAAAACTCATTTTGCAAGGTCAGGATTACTCTGATACCAAAATCAGAAAAGGACATTATAAGGAAAGAAAAGTACAGGCCAATGTCCCTGATGAATAAGATGTAAAAATTCTCAAGAACATACTAGCAAGCTGAATTCAGCAGCACATTAAAAGGGTCATTCACCAGGATCTGGTGGGATTTATCTCTGGGTGCAATGATGGTTCAACATACACAAATCACTACATGTGATACATCACATTAATAGAATTTAAAAAATGACTATATCAATAGATAACACAAAGCTTTTGACAAAATTCATCATTTGTTCATAATAACTCCTAACAAACTAGGTATAGAAGGAACATATTTCAACATTACAAAGATCACATCATATTCAATAGTGAAAAGCTGAAAGCTTTTCCTCTAAGAACAAAAACAAAGATGACTGGGGCGCCTGGGTGGCTCAGTCAGTTAAGCGTCCAACTTCAGCTCAGGTCATGATCTCACGGTCATGGGTTCAAGCCCCGCATTGGGCTCTGTGCTGACAGCTACCTCAGAGCCTGGAGCCTACTTCAGATTCTGTGTCTCCCTCCTTAACCCTCCCCTGCTCATGCTGCCTATCTCTCTCCCTCTCCCTCTTCCTCCCTCCCTCTCTCTCTCTCAGAAATAAATAAAACATTAAAAATTTTAAAAAAAGAAAAAGAACAAAGAGGACTACTCTCACCACGTCTATTCAACATAGCATTTGAAGTTCTATCCAGAGTAATGAGGTAAGAAATAAAAGATATCAGAAATACAAAGGAAGAAGTAAAATTGTCTCTATTTACAGATGATTTTACATAGACAAAATATATAAAAACTACTATTACTAAAAAACTGTTAGATCTAATCAATGAATTCAATAAAGTTGTAGGAAACAAAATTAATATAAAAAAATCACTAGCATTTCTTATGCACTGGAAGACCAAATAGTGTTAAAATGTTCATACTACCCAAGGCAATCTACAGATTTAAAGCAATCCCTATCAAAATACCGACAGCATTTTTCACAGAACTAGAACAAACAATCCTAAAATTTGTATAGAAACACAAGACACTGAATAGCCAAAGCAATCTTGAGAAAATAAAACAAAATTGGTATCATGCTGGAGAGGCTTGGGAAGGTGGTGGAAGAGAACCCTAAGCTCACCTCATCCCACCTTTAATGCAAGATTTATCACTCACATCCAAGTAAATAAACTGGAGAGTGATCCGAAGTCTGGCAGAACAAACTCCACACTAAATGTAGAGAAGAAGCTGCATTGGAAAGGTTAGGAAGGGCAGAGATAGTGGTTAGGACCTGCCTGCTGGAGGGAGGGAGCTGCAGTCAAGGTGAGGGGAAAGCACCAGGGAGCCCATGGGGGAAAATAAATCCCCACGTCTGGCCTGAAGGGACTGAATTCCCTGCATTCGGAGGACTTGGAGACCATAACTTTAAAAGTCAGCTGACTTAGGGGTGCCTGGGTGGCTCAGTAGTTGAGTGTCTGACTTCACCTCAGGTCATAATCTCAAGGTCTATGGGTTCACACCCCAAATCAGGCTCTGTGGTGACATCTCAGAGCCTGGAGCCTGCTTTGGATCCTGTGTCTCCCTCTCTCTCTCTCTCTCTCTCTCTCTCTCTCTCTGTCCTCTCCCCCCACTCACACTCTGTCTCTCCCTCTCAAAAATAAATAATAAAAACATTTTTTAAAAATCTTTAGGAAAAAAAGTCAGCTGACTCCGCACTGGGCAAGCCAAGAGGGTGAGTGATAGCCAGTCTCCACCCTTAAAGAAACAGTAGTCCAAGGAGAGCAACATAGAAGCAAAGGCTTACACAATGGGAAGTTGATCTGTTTATACTGATTTTGGAACATGTTGGGGGAAGGGGAACAAAGGAGCTGGCAGGTGACATTTTCCTCCCCCACCCCTCAGCATAAACACAGAGCCATGTGTGGGAGGCAGCAATGCACAGCAAAGCACTTGCTACTCAACCTAGCAGTGTGCCTGCCCAGAAGTTCTCCCGAGGACTCCAAGCCTGCTGGCCTTGGCCCTGGGCTCAGTGCAAATCTTGCTAAAGCCCACACACCCTACCCAGCTACTGAATACAGAGATGTTGCACACCCCAGTTGCTGCACTTCTTGCCCAGCCATTGTGCACACAGACACTAGGAGCGTAGATGCTGTACCCAGCCACTGCATGAGAAGATGCTGCAAGCCACTGGCCGCTACAGCTGCTGCATGTCATGCCCCCAGTGGCCACTGGGCTGTGAGGGATAGAGCTGGACTAGTGGCTCAGTGCAAATTTTGCTAACACAGCCACACAGCACCTGAGCCCTTCTGCTGTCACATCCCTCAAAGCCAGCCTGCCTGCAGCTCACTAGCATCACAGAGAGCAAGCACAATCCACAACAGGCAAAGAGTCAGTGCAGATGTCTGGTGTGAAAGGAAAAGCGATTCAGACTCAATACCAGGACGCAAGCAATGCACATAGGAGACTCCTTTGAAGAATAGGTTCTGATGAACAAGGGACATTGCACTGGAGGTCACTACACGTCCTATTCACATGTCTTCTAAAGAGCAGAAGATGTATCTGACCTTCCTAACTCAAAGAAACTTACACAGAGAGGTAGACAAAATGAGGAGACAGAGAAATATCTCCCAAATGAAAGAACAAGACAAAATTACAACTGATCTAAGCAAAAGAGAAATAAGGAATATGCCTGATACAGAATTTAAAGTAATGATCATGTGCAAAAATTCTCAACAAGATACTAGCAACCTAGATCTGACATTAAAAGAATTATTCACCAGGATCAAGTAGGATTTATTCCTGGGATGCAGGGCTGGTTCAATATCCACAAATCAACGTGATACATCATATATTTTTTTTTTTTTAGACTTAAGATTTTATTTTATTTTATTTATTTTTTTTTTTTACAAATAGTTTATTGTCAAATTAGTTTCCACATAACACTCAGTGCTCATCCCCAAAGTGCCCTCCTCCATGCCCCTCCCCCTCTCCCCCCCTCATCCATCAGTCCTCAGTTTTTGTCAGCATTCAAGAGTCTCTCATGGTTTGCCTCTCTCCCTTTCCCCCACCATTTCCCCCCTTCTTCTCCCCCTTGGTCCTCCATCAAGTTCCTCCTAATCCTCCTCTACGTGCAAACATAAGATATTTGTCCTTCTCTGCCTGACTTATTTCGCTCAGCATAACACCCTCAAGGTCCATCCATGTTGCTACACATGGCCAGATTTCATTGTTTCTCATTGCCATGGAGTATTCCATGGTATAGATAAACCACATCTTCTTGATCCATTCATCTGTTGATGGACACTTAGGCTCTTTCCATGTTTTAGCTATTGTGGAGAGTGCTGCTATGAACATTGGGGTACATGTGCTCCTATGCATCAGCATTTCTGCGTGATACATCATATTAATAAAATTGATTTTATTAATTAAATTAATAAAAGAAAGGGTCAGAATCACATGATCCTCTCAATAGATGAGGGAAAAGATTTGACAAAATACAGCATCCTTTCCTGATAAAAAACCCTCAAGAAAGTAGGGATAGAAGGATCACACCTCAGGATTATAAAGGCCATATACAAAAGACCCACTGCTAATATCATCCTCAATGGGGAAAAACTGAGAGCTTTCCCCCTGCATTCAGGAATACAAGGATCTCCACCCTCACCACTGTTATTCAACATACTGTTGGAAGTCCTAGCCTCAGTAATCAGACAACAAAGAAATAAAAGGCATCCAAATCAGCAAGGAGGAACTCAAACTTTCACTATCCACAGAGAACATGATACTCTATGTGGAAAACCTAAAAGACTGCACGAAAAAAAAACTGCTAGACCTGGCCCATGAATTCAGCAAAGTCACAGGATATAAAATCAATGCAGAGAAATCAGTTGGATTTCTATACACGAATAATGAAGCAGCAGAAAGAGAAATCAAGGAATCGATTCCCTTTACAATTGCACCAAAAAACAATAAAATATCTAGGAACAAACCTAACCAACGAAGTAAAAAAATCTATAAACCGAAAACTGTAGAAAGCTTATGAAAACCTACAAAAAAAAAAAAAAAAAAAAAGGGAAAACAGTCCAAGCTCATGAATTGGAAGAATACTGTTAAAATGTCAATACTACCCAAAGCAGTCTACATATTCAATGCAATACCTATCAAAATAACACCAGCATTCTTCATAGAGTTAGAACAAACAACCCTAAAATTTATATGAAACTAGAAAAGATCCCAAATAGGCAAAGCAATCCTGAAAAAGAAAACCAAAGCTGGAGGCATCATAATTCCAGACTTTAAGCTGTATCCAAAGCTGTAACCATCAAGACAGTATGGTACTGGCATAAGAACAGACACGTGGATCAATGGAATAGAATAGAGAACCCAGAAATGGACACACAAATGTATGACCAACAAATCTTCAACAAAGCAGGAAGGAATATCCAATAGAAAAAGACCTGTCTTTTCAACAAATGGTGTTGAGAAAACTGGATAGCTACATGCAAAGGAATGAAACTTGACCACTTTCTTATACCATACACAAAAATAAATTCAAAATGGATTAAGTCCTAAATATAAGACCTGAAACTATAAAAGTCCTAGAAGAGAACATAGGTAGTCATTTCTATGATATTGGCCATAGAAATTTATCTCCTGAGGTGAGGGAAATAAAAACAAAACTAAACTGTTGGAACTATATAAAAATACAAAATCTTCTGCACAATGAAGGAAATAAACAAAACTAAAAGACAACCTACAGAATGGGAGAAGTTATTTGCAAATAACATATCTGATAAAGAGTATCCAAAATAAATAAAAAACTGATACAACTCAATACCCAAAAGGCAAAGAATCCAATTTTAAAATGGGAAGAAGACATGAATAGGCATTTCTCCAGAGAGGACATACATATGGCCAATGGACACATGGAAAGATGCTCAACATCAGTCACCATCAGGGAAATGCAAATCAAAACTACAAGGAGATATCACCTCATACCTCTCAGAATGGCTAAAACCAACAACACAAGAAGCAGGTGTTGGCAAGGATGTGGAGAAAAACGAGCCCTCTTACAGTTGGTGGGAATGCCAACTGGTGCAGCCACTGTGGAAAACCGTATGGAGGTTCCTCAGAAAGTTATAAATCGAACTACTCTACAATCCAGTAATTGCACTACTGAGAATCTATCCCCAAAATACAAAAATACTAACTCAAAGTGATACATGAACTTCTATGTTTATTGCAGCACCATTTACAAATTATGGGAGCAACCCAAGTGTCCATTGATAGTCGAATGGATAAAGAAGATGTGGAGTATACACACACATACACACACATACACACACACACGTATCATAAAAGAATGAAATTTTGCCATTTGCAGTGACATTGAGGGAGTGAGAGAGTATACTGCTAAGTGAAATAAGTCAGACAAATAGGATATGATTTCACTCATATGTGGAATATAAAAAACAAAAGAAACAAGCAAAGAAAAAAAAAGAGACAGAGAGGCAAACCAAGAATTGCGCTCTTAATTATAGAGAGCAAACTGATGGTTACCAGAGGGGAGATGGGTGGGGGAATTGGTGAAATAGATGATGAAACTAAAAAATACACTTACGGGGGCGGGGGCAAGATGGCAGAGAAGTAGGGAACTCCTACATTGCACTCACACCCATATCTCGCACGGAGAAGGCCTGAAGCCACAGGAACCCTTACAGAATCCAGGAGTTTGGGAGGAAAAAGAGACAGAGACTGCTGAGAAAACCTTCTAGCGTGAGTGCGAACTGGGGAAAGATAAAATTGGGCCGGGACCAGAGACACAGAGGGATGGGGGTGATTCCCACTCTGGGGAGAGCTTAGAGGGGAAAGAGAGTGGCCGAAACTGCTCAAGACACTGTCCCTGTAGCTGGGGAACAGAAAAACCTCCACTCGGGACACAGAGGGACCTGGTTTCCTTCTATCCAGCTGACCCTAGGCTGGACGCACTCATCCAGGCAACCCCCCGGGGTGAAACTGCTCCACGCTTGCCAAACAGACCTGGAGGAGACGGGAGCAGTGGCTTCTGGCTCAATCCCCTGGGGGTAGGCAAAAGGCTTGAGACTGCCCTGAGGGGATCGCCTGCGAGTTTGTGTTTCCGGCAATTTCAGTGGAGTGCTCAGACTGGGATCTGGAAACGAGGCCTGGCCTGGGATATAGAGCACGGCCCGTCTTGGCTGCGCCCCTGTCATGGGGAGTTTACACACCCAAAAAAGTGAGGTGCAGCCCTTGGTTCAAGAAGGGACTGGAGCGCCGCCACTCTTCTCCCCACAACCACCAAGGCAGGACTCCCATGGGGTGCATTGGATCAAACCACGCCCATCACTGCTAGAGAGCTGCCCTCCTCCCCTCCCACCTTTTTTTTTTTTTTTTTTCTTACTGGAGCCAGGCAAGACCAATTCTGGTCACTGGCTTACTTAAACAGTCAAATTTAATCCATTCTCTAGATGTAAATTCTACACCTACCTACCTTTTCATCTCTTTCTCTCTGGAGTAATCAGACAATATAGTTTTCCTGGATAACACCATCGTCATTTCTTTCACCTCTTAAACCATATTTCACTCTTTCGCTCTTTGAAAAAAGCTTCTTATTCCTTCTGCCTGCTCATTTCATTTCCAATTTCACCTCATCCCCGTCCTGTCATTTCTCTCCTTTATGCTCTTCAACCAGCTCTGCATACACCTGGCTATTTAATTGTAGGTGGGAAATCTGGTTACATGCTTTAAACTGTTCTTTGTCTATTGAGTTTCTTCTTTTTTCCTTTTCTTCTTTTCTTTTTTATGTATTTTTATTTTTTATTATTTGCCTTCCCTCCTCCCTCTTTTCTACTTACTTTTTCGTTTTCCCTTTCAGTTTGTGTGTTTGTTGGATTTGTCTGTGTGTTTGTGTGCCTTTGTTCCCTGTGTGTTTGTCTGTTTTCTTTTCCAGGGCTACCTCAAGAAACAAGCCAAAGTACACATGGTGGAGAGTCCCAAATACCACTACGAGTAGGAAAATAAAATAACCAAGGTCTCAACAAGAGAGACCAAGATATACCATTCAAAGAACACTTTCTGAACAGACAGGCCATGGACAGTCAAAGAGCTTTCTTTGGTGCGGCACTCACAGGTGCAGAGTGCATAACAAGCTTCTAAAACTAACAAGAGATAGAAAGCTAACCAAAATGATGAATGAAAGAACTCTCCTGCAAAGAAAT